AAAATCTTTAAAAAAAAATGAAATATTAATTTAACATAGAGTACTTGGTGGTTATTTTTCAGGCTGCTTGGCTACTGCATTTTGCTTTCATTTAAATTTGAAGTTATCCTAAAAAAAAAAAAAAATTTGAAGTTATCCTAACCCTTTATTCAAAGACACAGTTGACTCTGATTCTGACTTAAGTTTTAGAGAGTCTTTTTTTTTTTTTTAATATTTAAGTAAACTCTATACCCTCTGTGGGGCTCGAACTCACGACCCCAAAATCAAGAGTCGCATGCTCTACCAACTGAGCCAGCCAGGTGCCCTAGTTGTAGAGAGTCTTAATTATGATTCATCACATAGGCAGTTTTCATTCAGTGCTTTAAAAAAAAAAAACAAATACTTCTATGTTTACTTTCTAGACTGATTTTGCACGGTTTAGTGGAACAAATGTGGAAACTGACTTTGTAGAGGTGCCATCCCAAATGCTTGAAAATTGGGTATGGGACATGGATTCCCTCCGAAGATTGTCAAAACATTATAAAGATGGAAGCCCTATTATGGATGATCTGCTTGAAAAACTTGTTGCTTCCAGACTGGTCAACACAGGTATGACTTGTAATTTTAGAAGAGGAAAATACGTTAGAATTGCTTAATAGAGAATTGCTGGCATCTTCTCCCATACAACTTATTTCCCCTTTAATAATGATGCTAACGTGGGGAGGGAAGACCGCTAAATATACTGGGATTGTGTCCAAGAAAAAAAATCCATCTCCTTTTAAATCTTAAATGAGATACCTTGCCCCCATTTTGTAGTATGTACTACAGGCATCAATTCTTGAAATCTTTGATCTTGTGATATTAGAACACATAGTTCTCTCTTCTCCAAAACATGCCCAAACATTCTTATGTTATTAGGTCTTCTGACCTTACGCCAGATTGTTTTGAGCAAAGTTGACCAGTCTCTCCATACGGACGCATCGCTGGACGCTGCAAGTGAATATGCCAAATACTGCACTGAGGTTTTAGGTGTTGCTGCTACTCCAGGTTTGTAAATACTGCGACTTGAATTCACTTTTTCTGTCAGGCGCAGGGTATACACCTACCAGCCCTGCCAGGGAAGGTAGAGTTGGTCAGGCAGCTTACCTCATGTAATTTGTTTCTGATTCCTGTAATCAGGCCATGACTTTCAGATAAGCTTACCATGTCCATATGAGTTATCCTATCCAAATGTGCTTAAAGGAGAGGTGGCTCCCACTTTGCCCCATTTTCGTGTAATCAGGCATGAGCAATTGGCCTCCCCCCAGAGCAGAGAAAGCCATTCACATTTGGCAGTACCCACCTGGCTCCTCCCTCCGTGTATGGACAGCGACTTCCCAGTGATTTCACTAAGAAATTGGCAGAAGGGGCAATTTTGGAGAGAAGCACAAGCTTCTGCCGTGTTTCTGTGTTTGGTTCTGAGATCGGTTAAGGCAGTTTAACTAGCACTTTCTAACCCAGTATTTATGGCATTCATGTGGATGGGTAGGTGCTCACACGTGTGTGTTCACATTTATAGTTATATATATTTTAAGCCAACATGTAGTTGTTCATGATACATAGTTTGGTATGGTGACTTTTTTCACCAACGAGGTCATTATTTAAATGAATCCATCACATTTATAGTGATACTGAAGATCAGAAGAGTTAATTGAGTCAATCCAGGCTCCTCACTTCCTTCTGTGATTTGTTTAGAGTAGACCATACAACATCTTTGTGCCTGAGGCCACTTTGACAAAAATCCTTTTTTAAAAGTAGCCCTAGAGATAGATTGTGTTGGTAAAACCTTTTTAGCTTTTTAAATAAAGAGTTATTTTTCAGTAATTATGAACCTAAAATAAGTGCCATTCTGACACATTTTAGATATAAAGAGGTGTGACAAAGAGTAGGCTTAGGATTAGAGTATCTGTAAGACACATGTGTCTAAGGGATAAGAAAGGACTGAGTAGTTCTGAAACACCGAGCTATCTGATGGGTGTGGACAAAGCCTCTGAAACTATTGTTAGGCATTCCAGAGCTTAGGGCCGAAACCATCTCGGAGGTTGAGTCATCATAGCAGAGAAGTTTGTAAACATCTTGGCCAAGGGCACAGGTAAACCCAGGGAGTACTACAGGTGAGATCCTGCTTGTCTCTTCTCCCCAGTGTCTGGACTCCCCATAGGGAAACCTTAGCCAGCTGATAACCTGATTATTAACATTGGCCATCACATTGATTGAAATGTATCTTTCTTTAAAGGCACAAATATGCCAGCCACTTTTGGACATTTGGCAGGGGGATATGATGGCCAATATTATGGATATCTTTGGAGTGAAGTATTTTCCATGGACATGTTTTACAGCTGTTTTAAAAAAGAAGGGATAATGAATCCAGAGGTATTGTATTTTCTTTTCTCCTTTTGTTAATTTTGCAATTGCTCCCTCCCTTTTAATTCCTAGTATAAAATATTTATTACACCTAGATTTTAGAGTAAGAGATTTGGTAACAGCTTTTAACTTTTAAGTCTTGCATCTTATCATATCATACATCATTAAGTTGTAGTGTACAAGTGACTAACTCTAATTCTGTAAGTTAAAAAAAAAACCCTGCATTTTCTTGCTTATTAACATTCCAATATATTGCATAATTAAAATTCAAAGCTTTGTTTATGCATTTGAGCATTTATAGCAGCTAGTTTTGACATGTGCCGTACAATGTTTTAGTTCTATAGGAGGTTGGGAAAGAAAGGTAAACTCCTTCCTGATAGAAATGGTCTGCGTATGTTGGGATATTCTCTACACAGTTTCTTTATACATTTTCTGTGGGAGGTACCCTTTCTCTGTGGCTGGCATACCCCACCTACTACGGAGTTTGTAACCCAAATGCCTCTAAGTAATTTGAGCTGCTTCATTAACCTGAGCCATTCCTTTCTGTGTACAGTGAATTGGCTGCCAGGTGGCTACCAGCCAAACCTTCCTGAGTTACAGTCCCCCAGTTTCCACTCTTGTTGAAGACTCAGCTGTCAGATTATTTCTAGGGCTGATGCATTTTTCCAGTGTGCTTTTTATTCTGTTTGATTCAGAAATTAGAAGAACAAATTATCAAAATCAGGCTCTTTGTTCTTATTTTAGCCAACTGATTTGTTCCCCTAAACTTTTGTTTCTGGATTGCATAGTGCCTCACACATATACTGAAATACATTGCTGTAATTTAGATCATCATCCCCCCAACCTCCCCCACCCACCCCAAAAAAAACCACCCCCAGGGCACCTCCATTCTACACTAGCCTTTCCAATCACACCATCTTCTATCCTACCCTACCCAGGCTCTTAAGTCACTGTATGCTTCCTTCCCTTCCCTGGCCAACCTATTACGTTGGTCAACCACTGACTGTGCTCATAAATATCTTGACTTCTGCATGACCTTCAGCCTAGTGCCCAGCCCTGGATTCCTCCACCATCTCACTTAGATATGGTGCCCTTGGGATTCAGAACTTTCCAGAGATGGTGTGAGTCCATTAACGTGCCCCAGTACAAAGTAATGCTATCTGACCTGTCTGGACAACCAGTGTTACTCTGCTGTCCTGTCCACCTCCTTTATTGAGTTCCCCTGAGTCTCTCACTACCTTTCTGCTCTCCACTAAGAAAAGTAAGGCCATCGAGACTGAGTACTTCATCTTTTTTTCTTCTCATATACTTCACTACTTCTTTCCTTCTGCTCAGGGATGTCTCTCATACCAAGCCTTACTGGTTTGCCATCTTTGGGAAAAAACTGGGGTTATTGCTACTGACTTTGACAACCCTATTGCTACTATTCAGTTGTTCTTCCTTTTACAGCCTAATTTCTCACTGTAAGAAACAGTCTTGGCAAACCTCTTTTATCTGGCTTTTGCCTCCACCAACTGAACTGGAAAGTTACTTTCTTTCCAGAGTTACCACTGATGACCCAGTCACCAACTTCCAAAGGCCCTCACCTACCATTTTTTTCTTTTTCTTTTTTTTTATTTCCTGCTTCTTGTTATTCCTCTCCTTGTTCACAGTCCTCAGCTTAGCCATCAAATCCCTTCCTTACTTCCCAGAACTCTTTGTGTCAGCCAAATTTGTGTGTTCCTGTAGCTCTTTGCACCTTCACAAATTTGTTCATTCTCTTTCTTCCACCTAAAATATGTGCCTTCTTGTCTGTGCCTCTTAAAAATTTTACCATTCTGAAAGGCCCTACTCAAATGGCCACTCACTTATGAAATCTTCCAAATCATTCCAACCCAAAGTGGCCTTTCCATTTTTTGAAGAGCAGAATGGACTTGGGCATGAGGGAAGGGCTCCAACAGCTTTTTCTTATGTCTGGAATTTTTAATATAACTCTTAGAAAAAAAAATCAGGTTATAGAATATTTTGTACCATAGAATGTAAATTTTTACTTTAAAATGTAGTTTAGAAAAAGAGTACATCAAAATGTCCATTCTTAACTTCGGGTGATAACTTGATGAGTGATTATTAAATATTTTTCTGTGCTTTTTGTGGAGCTTTTCCTTATTTTTACATAGAGCATGTATTATTGCAGAAATCAGAAATCAATGATTAAAGACACACAAGGTCTAGTTATATAAAGGTGCAATTATGACCTGTTACTGGCTCTTACTAGTTGGTGAGGCTTCCTGGCAAAAGTGCTCCGGTACCTTTTTCAATTAGGCTTCCTCACTCACCTCCTCTGTGCTTCCACTCACACGGCCACATCTCCAGTACCCTCCACCGTGACCTCTTCTCTTCCATCGGTCAACAGAGCGGCCAAAGTGCTGATCCCAGTGGACCCCAAGGAACTTGCAGTTCCGGCAGACTCAATCCCTGCCACTATGCTTCCATGTACTTCCTCTTATTCTCAAGCTTCACAGCTTGGCAGGCAGCCAGACTACTTTTAATTTAGACCAGGGACCTGGGTTGAACTTGGGGAAAGCAAAATTCCCAACAACTTGGAATTGTTGGCTTTGTAATGTTAAAAACAGTTTTCAGTTTTACTATAATTGTGGATTTGACATTGCTATATATTATTCACTTTACGCTGTGAAGCTAGCTTTAATCCCTTCCTTTTTGTTTTCCTGTCAAATACTCTGGGATATCATGTCATTTCTTGCTCCCCTGCTGTCACAACAGTAGTGAATCTGGCTCCAGTGACAAGGGGAATCCCTGTGCACCCCACCCTCACACTCTTCCCTGCAGTGGCAGATACTAGAACAGCTTTTTAAATAGCTGTTTTGTTCCCTCCTACAGTGCACTGTTTGTTTGGTTTTGCTTACTTTAATTTTTTTTTTTTGCTGCAAATGTTTGCTTTAAAGTAATACCTTATTTACAAAATTCAAATACCCACTTATTAAAAGTTAGTACTTTGAGACAGTAATCCCGTTCTACAAAAAACATCAGTCATTATTACAGATTTGTTGTGATGAAGAGAAAGAATTTTTTTTGTTTATTTATTTATTTATTTATTTTTAGTAATCTCTACACCCAACATGGGACTTGAACTCACAACCCCAAGATCAAGAGTTGTGTGCTCCTCCAACTGAGACAGCCAGGTGCCCTGAGAGACTTTTCGTAGTATAAGGAAATACTGAATTTGATCTGAAGTCATGGGTACCAGAGCAATCACAGTGTATCTGCAGACTATGTTGTCTCAAGGCCCTCACCCTCCCGAGTGTGTTTTATGTTTTTTTCCTTATCATTGAATTCTGCTATATTTTCTAGAAAGTTTTCAGTAGAAAGGGACCAGTTATTATTGCCCAGCACAGTGAGTTAAAAAGATTGTTTCCCAAAGCCATTATAAAAATTCTGTAATAATAAGGATAAATAATAGACTCTAGAAACTTTCAGTAATAAACCACAATAAAAGCAAGCAAACAAATAAAAGGACACCTTGAAAGGAAGGAGAATTAGACTGTCTTAGATTTCTTAATAAGCATCACAATTGAGTACATATTGGTGCCACTGTAACTATATAAGGTTGACACCTTTTTTTTTTTTAACTGAAGTATAGTTGACACATAATGACATGTTAGTTTCACCTAGTAAGTGTTTGAATCATTTTGAGAAGATAGTGGTGTGGCCCTTCAAGGAATCAGAGCCTGCTGTTCTTAGTCCCCAAACTGCACGGAGGCTGGAGACTAAAAGATCACAGACTGTTGACATTATTGGTCCTGGTCATTGATATCAACAAAAGAACATCTCCAGGCCTTCTCTCTGTAACCTCTTACCATCCTGCAAAGCTCAAGATCTACTCTGAGAAACATTCCAGATCTTAGCAAGCCTAACTAGAAAGTACCTTACTCACTGGGAAAACCATAATAGGAAGGATCAAATATAAAGCTTTTTTTGTTGTTGTTAAGGTAATCTATACCCCTAGTGTGAGGCTCGAACTCACAACCCCAAAATCAAAAGTCAGATGCTCTACCATCTGAGCCAGCCAGGCACCCCAAACCTATAGTCTTCTGAATACCAAATGTAGCAATAGGATATTTTATGGTACGATGGTTTCATTCTGTTTTGAGGGCTTCTATCAAAGTATTAGAATTGGCCACTTACCTATAATAGCCAGAAGTTTGCTACCTCTGGTTTTATTTGTGATTTTCTCTTTTCTTCATTGTAAATAGATAGACCATCCTAACTATTTAATTAGTTTGTTAAATATATTCTAAAGTCTATGAGTGCCTTGTCTCTCCTACTTAATAGTCCTACTGAATTAGGGAGTCTATTTCTTCTTAATAACGGAGATGAAGTCTCTTATGCTTTTTTTAGCTTTATTAGGAGACCGAACTAATTTTAAGGAGATGCCAAGCCAGGAATGCATCCGTGTCCCTGCTCTGTACATGAGACGCTGAACGTAGGGCCAGTGAGAGAGGGGTGGAAATGAAAGGAGAGATGGATGACCACTGAGGATTACTGAGTGCCCCTGGATGCCATGTGTTACACTAGGGAGTAGGCAGCGTACTGAAATCATCTCTAATTCCCTATCGACTAAGTGAGGGAGGCATATTCCTCCTTGACAGGTAAGGAAACCAAGGCCCATGGTCACAGAGCCGAGGGTGAAGCCAAGATTCGAATTTGGCCCTGACTCCCAAACTCCTGAACTTGCTTTAGAAAACATCAT